GCGAGATAGAGAGAGAGATGGAGAGAGAGAGAGACAGATGGAGATAGAGAGATGGAGAGATATAGATAGAGAGATGGATAGAGATAGACAGATAGATAGAGAGAGATAGAGAGATGGATAGATGGATAGATAGAGAGAGATGGATAGAGAGACAGAGATAGAGAGATGGATATAGATAGACAGATAGATAGATATAGAAAGAGAGATGGATAGAGAGATAGAGAGATATAGATAGAGAGATGGATAGAGATAGATAGATAGATAGATAGATAGATAGATAGATAGATAGATAGCAATAGCACTTATATACTGCTTTACAGTGCTTTAAATCCCTCTCTAAGCGGTTTACAGAGTCGGCCTTTTGCCCCCAACCATCTGGGTCCTCATTTTACCCACCTCAGAAGGAGGGAAGGCTGAGTCAACCTTGAGCCTGGTGAGTTTTGAATTGCCAAATTGCAGGCAGCTGGCAGGCAGCAGGAGTGGCCTGCAGTACAGCACTCTAACTAGATAGATGATAGATAGATAGATAGATAGATAGATAGATAGATAGAGATAGGCAAAGTATTTTTTCGACACTTCAAGACCATGGACAGCTCCTGATATTTGCTCCTTGATTAGCCCTTTGTCCAGGAATGCCCGATGAGGGAATCTGGAAGGAATTTCTCCATTTTCCAACCTAGACATTTTGCCTTTCCAGGACATTTCCCCACGGGGAATCACTCCCATTTTTGTATTGTTCTTCCTGTTAAGAGAAAGTCCCTTCTCCCAACTACAACAACAAAAACCCCTTCTCATTGGCCTTTTTTATAAAAGGCTAAATCCTTTTCCCTGTGGTTCAGGCTCAGATATCCAAGGCACATTCTCCCATCTCTCCTTGGTTTTTCGGTGCCCTTTCCTGATCATCTCCCATTGCCCTTTCCTGAATTCCTGATTCAGAAAAAAAGCCTCTCTCTTTTTTTTTGAGGGGGTGGGAAACTTCTGCAAGCAAGAGTTGATAAAGTTCAAACTTCCTAGGTAGGGATGCAAAAGAAGATACTGGATGAAATGCCTTTTGAGTAGATTTGTCCCTAATGGCACGCTTGCACATTATCTTGGCAGTCGATCTGCAGAATACTTAATAAGAAGAAAATGAGTTTGTCAATCGGAATGAATCAAGGGTTGGTCAGGACTGTCTGAACCCAAACCTCCATGCTGAAGTCATGGATAATATTGATTCAGAAATTTTCCCCCCTCTTATTTTTTTTTTTACTGACCTCCCCCCCCCCATTTCCCCCTCCTCCTCTTTAATTTATCAGACAAATCCTGGAGACTGACAGTGATAGGGGAGGGAAACCTTTAATTAAAAAGACATTAAATGGAATTCAGTCCCTGTCGGCAAATACAGACAGAAGCTAAGGAGCAGGAGGGAGGCCGGGAGAAAATAGAAAATAGTGCTACAATTAGACAGAAATCCTGAGGGAGCCAAGGTTGAAAAGAAAGCTCCTGTCAATGAAGATCTGGAATTTATTTCGATTGTAGTTACTGAAGAGGAAATTTAGATGAGTGTGTTTTGTTTTTAAAAAAGAGACGCATAGTGCAACAACTTGAATTCCTCCGTGCTCTGTCTCCTACCCCAAAACTGACAACACAAAGCTGTTTTTCCTAAGTGTTACAGGCAGACTGTTCTTATAATCCATTTGTAAGACTGTCTATGTCAGTGGAAGCTTTTTGAGTGATGGAGGCCTTGATGGGACACAAAATTATCCGTGTAGCAAGTTCAACTTTTCCCCTGGATCCTTGGAATTCTTGTTCTCCCGTGGTTTCTTATTCCACCTTCCAAGGTCTTGTTTTCGTTCCTTCTCATTTGTAGATAGCTGGAGTTTAGCCCAAACCAAGCAATATTTATTTATCCATCTACAGAATTCTTAAGATCCCAGGAAGATTAACACTTAGAGTGAAAGAACAGAGACGGCAAAGGAGCAGATTTCAACTAACTCTTGGGAGAAAAATATCCAAGCAGTTAGAATTCTTGAAGAGATGAACCCCATCTCCAAAACCTTATTCGCTAGAGGATTTTTAAAGAAAGCCACTTGAAGGGAGACCCCCACAGCTGTTGGCTAGACTGGACAGCATCCCAGAAGAGGAGAAGGGGGGGAAAAAAGAAGAAAAGGAAGGGGGGGAAATCCTGCACAGATTTATTCTTAAAATTGCCAGAAGTCACGTTTGTTCTCCAAATAGGCTTGGAGTGTAATTATAGCTTCAAGTGAGGGAAACACAGTTTTACATCTTGCTTCGCAGTGCCTGCATTGAACAAGATGGCCAGTGCAATCCTAAATTGCATTAACAGAAGGATACAATCAAGATCAAATGAGATACTAATACCACTCTATAAAGCTTTGGTAAGACCACACCTAGAGTACTGCATCCAGTTTTGGTCACCACACTATAAAAAAAGATGTTGAGACTCTAGAAAAAAATACAGAGAAGAGCAACTAGGATGATGAGGGGACTGGAGGCTAAAACATATGAAGAACGGTTACAGGAACTGGGCCTGGCTAGTCTAGGGAAGGGAAGGACCAGGGGAGACAGGAGAGCAGCCTTCCAATATTTGAGGGGCTGCCACAGAGAGGAGGAAGGGGTCAAGCTATTTTCCAAAGCCCCTGAAGGCCAGACAAGGAATAATGCATGGAAACTGACCAAGGAGAGATTCAACCTGGAAATAAGGAGGAATTTTCTGACAATGAGAACCATCAACCCATGGAACAGTAGTTGCCTTCAGAAGTTGTGGAAGCTTCATCCCTGGAGGCTTTCAAGAAGAGATTAGACTGCCATTTGTCAGAAATGGTGTAGGGTCTCCTGCTTGGCTGGGGGTGGTGGTGGACTTGATGACCTCCAAGGTCCCTTCCAACTTTGTTAATCTGTCTGTCTGACTTCAGGGCTGGCAAGATGACTCACTAAAGCTCTTAAATGGTCTTCAGGCTACACAGTTGGCCTTTTGACTTGCTGTATGTTTACCATCTTTTTTTCAGGGCTGATTTTTTTTGTCCCCGACAATATCAAAATTGCTGGGCTGATCACATTTTCCTACGTCGCTAAACTGAACCAACGGACACCCCCACTAATCTAACCCTGGGTGCTTCCTATTATTTATCTCCTTTTCAGAAGAACTGGAAACGAGCCCGGAGGATTTCTGGAATCCTTCCCACGCTGCAGCTTTTGCAGTTGCTAACTTCACGTGGGGTCCAGCATCCATGTTCAAAGGAACATCCATGTGGTTGGATGTGAGAGGCTGGTTCAGAAGATATATAGACCTAAACCCGGGCTCCCACCATGTGCTGAATCACAAGTTACTAATTCCCGCTTCGATGCCTACCTTGTGAGTAACCCAGCTAGTTAGTTGAGCTTGCTCCTTAGAACGGCGTGTTTAGAGGCAGCTGGAGCAACTCTCAGCAGGTTGAATCCGAAAAGTAGCCTGATCAATTTGGCTTTATAAACAGGGATGGGATTTGGAAAGTCAATCAAAGCCATGGATTATTTTCAAGATGACAGTATATTGCCCTCATTCTCAACTTCTTACCTGGGGTAGGATGCGGTCAAGAGAGGGCGATGGCTATGCTTGCTTGGAATGCTGGAATTCCTCGTACTTGGAAAATTGGGAAGCAGATGCTGTAAGCTTCATTGGTGCCTCTCTTGGGGTATTAATGACTGGTGGCTACTAGTTTTCCCATAGATGCTTTCCCCTCCCTTGAGGGGTGAGGAAGAACAGCCTGGGTTTTTGCAAAGAGCTACTTTTGTATTCAAGGAGGATAGGATGACAAAGTTAGAAGGGGACTTAGAGATCTTCTAGCCCAACCTTCCTACTTAAGCAGGAGATCCTACACCCTTCTGGACAAACGGTTGTCCAATCTCTTCTTAAAGACCTCCAGTGTTGGAGCAGCCCACAAGTTCTGGAAGGCAAGTCTGGTTAATTGTTTTCACTGTCAGGAAATTTCTCCTTAGTTCTTGGTTGGATCTCTCTTTCGTGATTTTCAGCATGTTACTTCTTGTAACGGGTTATTCAGAGGAGGAACCAGCAGTTGAGAAAAGAAGCAGTCTTTCCTCATAGTCTGGCAGCCAAAGAAAAGGGTGTTCCTTTAGACGAAGATCCTTGTTCAAGTCTGACTTCTGTTTAAGAAGAGTATTTTGCACATTCATGCATGGCTGTCCAAAGATGCACACCAGCATTCATACATTAACTGTCCTCTCAGAAGGGAAGTCTCACAAAGACTAAAGGGGTGAAGATTATAGCAAGGAACAATAGTTGCAAGGTGTAAAAATATCATTTTCTTGTAAGAGCATCATGCCCCATCAACTGTCTGTCAATAGCCAGCATTCTTTCTCTTCGCAATGAAATGAAGCCAACAAAGGGACTCCCTGACACTTGAGGAAATGAGCAGCCTTTGGATCTCTAGCCTCCCCACTTTCCTTAACAAGGGTCAACTTGGATGTACGTGAAAATAAAACTACAGGCAACAGTGCCATTTGGGTTCAGACTTTGTGGGTCACGCATCAGTTGCATTGGAGCATCCATTGCATTGAAGCTACCTTAGGGTGCTTGCCATCCAACGAAGGACCACATATCCCATGATGGCAGAGCAATTAAGGGGTTGGGCAAGGACTGAGGAACTCCAGCCTCCATTCTGTCCCTTAGCTACGCTACGAAGCTTCCTGGATGACTTTGGACTAGTCACTCTCTCAGCTCAACTTACCTCATCGCTCCTGCAGTGAAAAATAAGGGAAGGAAACACGACGTAGATCTGCTTGAGGTCATGAAGGGAAGGCAGAATAGAAACCTAACAATAAATGCATCAGAGTTCCATGGGACAAAGCATGGGACCATCAAATCCAGCATGCGTGATGACTTGACTAAAGACAGACAATGCCTCTGAGAACGGACAAAATTCAAGACTTTCCTACCCACTAGACAAGTCTGTATCAGTGGCTTCCTCAACAGTAAGTTCAGTTTGCGGTAAGATACTTACCCGGGAATGACACTGGAATCCAAAGTAGACCACGACAATGGCAGGCAAAAGGACCACTGAAAAGATGGCGGCCATCAGAAGGAAGTTCAGGAGGAAAGCCAAAGAGTTCATTGCCACCACCAGGCAAGTCCACGCCCAACAGCCACAGGTGCTACGACGCTCCATGGGCAGGAGCTGGTCCTCCATGTTGTAAGGCGGGAGAGTTTGGATGGTGTGGGAAGAGTCAGAGAAGTTGTCCCCATCATAGTCATCGATCTCCTGATCGGACATCCTCAGGAAGATCAAACCGGGCGTCTCAGTTCCTTAATTCCTCTCTTTTTTCTTCCTGTCCGTCCAAAATGGAGCGACCACTCAGTCTTCCCAGTTTAGGTGAGAGGATTGTGGCCGAGGTGGATTTTCCCCAAAGGGGTTGCCCACTTCCAGGAAACAGGAGGGAGGTGAGCTTGGGAGCCTAAGAGGGAAGTTCTTAACACGCCCTTTCAAGGATCAGCGGGCGGCTTAGGCTGAAATGGTACAAGACGGAGAAAGTCCTTCCAAGTGGTGGGGATGAACTTTTCCTAGAAGGCAGGCCGTTCTTCTCCAGGTGTGCCTACCGGAGTTCTTGGAGCAAGAAGAGATTGCCGGTGTGAAATTTGCCAGGAAAGGGGAGAAGGACAAGCGCCTTCCTCTGGTTCCACCTTCTGGGTCGAGTTTCCAGCCAGACGCCCAATTTCCCAGAAGTTCCACACGGCACCAGTCCTCTCTCAGCACTCCTCAAGTCTCCATGGCAGGCTGCGCTGGATTCATCCCCTGATTATCTGGGCAGAGTTGGGTCCTTCAACTTTTCACTTCTCCCCCCCCACGCCAGCCTTCCCTTTTTGTGATGTCCGGAGGCAGGAATGCTCCCTGCCTGAACTGGTGGCTCTTTCCCCTCTTCCTAGACGCTCCAATCGTGGTGTGGTGTGTTGCCGTTTAGAGGCAGCTGCACCAAAATCTCTCCTGCAGGCACCCAATCCTTAGCTGCTGCTGCTCCTGCTTCTCTCCACCCCTTTGAGCCGCTTACTACGTACTGTTTCCATCCAGCCAGGCCCACTGCTGATCTTTTTCTCCGTGTGCTCCTGCTCTGCGATTCCTCTTGATGGAGAGGGGAAGGGAAATGGGACCAGCAGGCTGAGGAAGGGTGGCAAGGAGAGGACAGCGGAAGAGGGGAGAAAAAAAGGAGATTCAAGAGAAGGGATGAGAAAGGGGTGGTGGGTGGACGTATTATACCAAGCGGAGTGGAGTTGCAAAAAAGCGCAAGAGTTTTGGCTCAGGACAGGGAAGAGGTTGGAAGAAATGTTGGGCTTTAAATTAGATCATGTACCAGAATGTTTTCTATTAGGAATCACGACAAGCAAAAATACAATAAGGATGAGCTATATTTGATTATACATATTACTACTGCAGGAAGGATAGCATTTGCCCAGAACTGGAAGGAGACAGATATACCGAGTGAAGACAAAGTAATAAACCAAATTTTACTATGAGCTGAAATGGATAAGGAGATGAAAGTGTTTATTGGGTGGTTATGGGGAAATTTCTTTTTTTTCTCCAAAATTTTATTGATTACATATTAAAATATTGGATACAGTGTGACTGTCCAAGAAAAATTCTTTGTGTGTCCAATCACACTTGGCCAATAAAGAATTCTATTCTATTCTGAGTTTCCGGTTTGTCGGCTTCGCGAGCGGTAGGGATTCGCGAAGCTGCGCGATCCCTGCCGCGCTAGCCGTTTTGGGGCTCCGACCCGGACGGGTGCGGAGCAAGGCTGCCCTGCAGGGGTAGCTGAAGGTAAGGGGGATCCGGAGGAAGGGTTTGGGGGTGCTGCAGACCCCCTCCCTGGCCGGCAGAACCTCCTTTTACCAGGACGGTGCAGCGGCGGTCCGTAATGGCCGCCACAAAGAAGTTGACAGCCGGGCAAGTATGCGCAGGAGGAAGAAGAGAAAGTTATTGAAAGTGAAAGTTCTTCTTGGTTGACCCAGGGCTTTGAGATTTATCTAATTTAATTCCTGGAAAAGATGGTTTTTTGATGATTTTTTCCACAAGAGAAA